ATGCAAAAGCGATGGAAAAGCAACAAAATAGAGATGGAAAAGGAATAGGAATGGAAAAGGAATGGAAAGACCATGGAATAGTGGAAGAGAAATGACAGAAGAGTGGCAGAAAAGTGACAGAAAAGTGGCAGAAAAGTAACAGAAAAGTGGCAGAAAAGCAATGGAAAAACGACACCAAAAGCAGGCACGGCAGAGCAGCCCAGGCAAGAACGAGTGGCGGCTCACCAGGATTTTGGAGGTGTAGGCCGAGTTGATGGCCACGCCCTGCACGATGAGATCCAGCACCTTGGGCAGGATGGCCTCGGGGTCGGGGATCTGCCGGTAGTGGGTGTCACCCACGTAGGCCTGCACCACGGTCATGCGGTTCATGGTCAGCGTGCCCGTCTTGTCCGAGCAGATGGCCGTGGCGTTGCCCATGGTCTCGCACGCGTCCAGGTGCCTCACCAGGTTGTTGTCCTTCATCATTTTCTGCGGGAGGTGGAGAGGTCAGAGCCGGGGTTGGGCTCGGACCCCTCCTCGCCCCAAAACGCCGCGTCCCAGCCGCCTCACCTTGACCGAGTAGGCCAGCGAGATGGTGACGGCCAGCGGGAGCCCCTCGGGGACGGCCACCACCAGCACGGTGACGCCGATGATGAAGAACTTGACGAAGTACTGGATGTAGATGGGCGTGCACTCGGCCAGCCAGGGCCGCTTCTGCACGCCGAAGGTGTCGATGACGAAGTAGAGCACCAGGATGATGACGGTGATGGCCGACATGATCAGCCCTGGGGATGAGGATGGGGTCAGGGGAAAAACCTGGACAGCTCTCCCAAAACCATCCAAAAAAATGCTGGGAACATTCCCATCACCCCGACTGCAAAAAGTGGGAATCACCTTGCGCACAGCCCCTTCCACCTTCTCCCAAACCCACCTAAAAAACCGCTTGGGACATTCCTGTCACCCTCTCTACAGAAGGGCACACCCTTTTCCCTGATGCTTTTTAGGGTTTTATTTTCCAAAAAATGCTGGGAACATTCCCATCACCCCGACTGCAAAAAGTGGGAATCACCTTGCGCACAGCCCCTTCCACCTTCTCCCAAGCCCACCTAAAAAACTGCTTG